TTCGTCGTCCTCGTCCTCGTCCTCGTCCTCATCATCCTCCAAGACGTCGGCGATCTCGTAGACACCGTCGGAGCGCTTGGTGCCCATGCTCTTCTCGTCGATCCAACTGTCGAGGCCGGCTGCATCGTCGGCGTCCTTCTCGGTGGCGCCGCTAAAGTCGAGAGCGGCCACCTGCTGTGCGCTGACGCTGCGGCTACCGTCCCACTTGCGCATCTCCTTGGCTGCCTTGGTCTTCTTTCCGCCGGGCGACTCGGTCCCACTGGCATGCCCGGGTGTGCCCGGGGCGCTGCCGCCGTTGGAGGCCGAGATGCCTGAGGTGCTCTTCTTGCCGCGAACGACGCGTCTGCCGCCGGGACTGGCTTCGAGCTTGAGTCGGCTCTTTAAAGCTTCGACGCTCTTTGCGATGTCTGCCGAGTCCTTGCCCTCCTTGATCGACTTTGGAGTGTCGAGGCCGCTCTCCTTGTCCGAGGCGTCGGCCGCCTGCGCTTGGTTGGTGATGCCCTTCTTCTCGCCGAGGACGCCCTTGCGCTTGGACTGGGCGGCGGCCTTTTCCAAGCTCCTGAGCGTCTTGGAGAAGATGTCGTCCCACTCTTTGAGGGCAGCGCTGAACTCGAGGCGTGCGCTCTCCGGAAGAGTGGCGGCCTTGGATGTGCCAGAGGCGACAGCACTCTTGGAGGAGAGGGCGAGTTTGCGGACGAAGGAAGCGAAGAGGTCGGTGAAGAGTGAGCGAACAGTATCGAGGAGCTCCTCAATGTAAGAGAGCTGGAGGATGCGCTGGTAGACGACGACAAAGGTGAGGTCGAGCTCGTTGGCAAACGTCCAACGGAGAGTGTATCCATCCTTGTCAAACTTGTGGTCTGCGGTGCGCTGCTCGAGGAAAGCCTGCTTAATGAGAGCATTGACGGGATTTGCCGATGCATCGGCACTGCTCAGTGCTGGACTGAAGGTCTTGGACCAGAGAACCAACCCATCTGCACAGGTGGAAAGGGCAAAGCAAGGGGAAAAGGACAGTGTCAGTGGCGCTGGAATGCGAGTGAGAAGCGGTGCTTGTGGGCAGAAGACTTACTCTTGGTGAAGATGGTAAAGTGGTCCAGCATGATGGGCAAAACGCACGTCGAGATGCCGGTTCGGTGGTGGTGGATGGCGAAGGGCGGTGGCTAGGATGGTGGCGGCGGCGACTGAAAATAGGCTCGTTCGCAGAGCGTGGGGGTACAAAAGGTCGTCGCGGGGTGGAGTCTTGCCGATGCGCATCGAACATCAAAAGATCGGCTGCCCGATTCATCCGTCGGGCTGGCTGCTCCACTTGAGCTCCATTTTTTTGGGTTCTCGACGTCAAAATCCAAGAATCTCCGGGACACGGCTTGCGAAGGATGCTTTGCCGTTCCTCTCAGCCCGTTCACCGTTCTCATTGACCGACACCACATTCTACACAGCTGCCCCCTCTTTGACTCGCTCTCAGTGCGTGATCAGGGGTCCAACACAGTCTCATGGGTCGATATGCCGTGTTGGTGTCGGGGCCTGCGGGCTCTGGCAAGTCGACGTTCTGCTCCGCGCTGATCGCCCACGCGCAATCGCTGGGCCGCAACGTGCACCTCTTCAACCTGGATCCTGCTGCGGAGCGATTCGAGTACCAGCCGAGCATCGACATCAAGGAGCTCATCTCGCTTGAAGACGTGATGGAAGAGATGAACCTCGGGCCCAACGGAGGTCTCATCTACTGTTTCGAGTAGGTGTCATGCGTTGAGCGGGCACAATGCATGAAGCGGAAGCGTGCCTTACTGACGCAAGGTCTTCTTCCTTTTTTACGCCATTACAGATACCTGTTGGACAACCTCGACTGGCTGGATGACGAGCTGGGCGAGTTCAACGACGACTACATCATCATCGACTGTCCCGGGCAGATCGAGCTTTACACGCACTTCCCCATCATGTCGAGGCTGGTCAACATTTTGTCGGTGCAGTACAACTTCCGCATCTGCGCGACGTACCTGCTAGAGGCGCAGTTCATGGACGACAAGACCAAGTACTTTGCCGGTGTCCTGAGCGCCATGAGCGCGATGATCAATCTCGAAGTGCCGCACATCAATCTGCTCAGCAAGATGGACTTGGTCGAAAAGGGCGAAATTGGTGCCGAGGCCAAGAAGGGCCGCAGAAGGGAGATGGAGCGCTACCTCGATCCGGATCCGCTGCTGCTGATGGACGAAGTGAACTCGCGAACGAATCCCAAGTTCCACTCATTGAATCAGGCGCTGGTGCAGCTCATCGACGATTTTAGCATGGTATCGTTCATGCCTCTGGACAGCACGGATGAAGACTCGGTAGGCACAATCCTGTCGCATATCGACAACGCGGTGCAGTACGGAGAAGACGAAGAGCCCAAGGAGCCCAAGGACATGGACGAGGGCGACTTCCAAGCTGCCTGAGCCGGGTCCCGCACCAAGCTTCCACTCATCGATTGTATTTGTATCCCCCGCAATGACCGCGCATATCTTGGCATCATATTGCTGCTGTGTCCTGCTTCCTTCGAGCAATGAGATTGCTTGGCCGATTCATGCACAAGCATTGCGGAAAGGTTGATGTCGTTGCATTGACGATACGAGCTTTGAGAGGTCTGCTATAAGACGAAACTGTTAAGCTTCAGCGGATTACACTTTGACTTGCTTTTCCGCTTTTTTACCCGCTCGTGTGAGAGCTGCAAGGCTGAGTCGGAGCTGTTGAGCCTCCACGTTGCTGCATCGGCGGTGCCTGGCTGGCTCAGGCTCGGTGGCAAGAGAGGGAGAACTCTTTTCAGGGTCGACACGGCGGCTGCATGGAGCTGCTGCGCGCGCCTCGCAGCCACGCTAAAATAAGGGAGCAGGGTTGCGGCCTCGACTGAGCTCCTGAAGTCAGTCGCCGATTGCCTCACCGCTCGACAGCGCGGCTGCCGCTTCTCCACAACGGCATATCTGCCTTTCAGCCCGCAGGTCCGCGACTCATTACCTGTTCCCCACTATCCTTCTGCGCGACCATCACCTCCCCTCTCCCAAAGGTCATTTTCTGGCTTGGCCTTGGCGTTCCTCGTAGCACTGTCTTTGTGCGGCTTCTCTCTTCCCATTCTGCTGTCACCGCTGCAGCCTTAGAACCGGGACCTCGCCAGGACCTCGCCAACGTCACGCCACCCCCTGGCGCTGGAGCGCTGTCGCTTCTGGACATCATGGCTCGCAACCGCAGGCGAGATCGCCGCTCAGCTTTATCGCTGCAACGTGTTGCCACCCTCTCGCTCGTGGCGTTGAGTGCCACTCTTCCTACCGTCCACGCCGCCACCCAGCCCAAGGATTCTGGAGCCGCCGTTCCTCAACCCAGTCTCAACCCGACTGCTTCGATCGCGCAGGCAGTCTCGCGCACACGCAGGCCATGGTTCAGCGCCGCCAAGGATCGTGTCGTTGACTCGGTCTCGCGTTTCCTCTCGCACGCACTCCCCGATCCCCGCTATTTCTCTTACGACCTGGACCAATTCGACGAAGATCAGATGCCGTACGATGACGGCCTTCCTCTCGACTCTGGCAGCATCCTCGACGGGCCTGGCCTCAACTGGGGCGGCAGCACCCTCGAAGTGGTCCGCTCCCAGGCCATCTTCCTTACCCGCTCGGCTGCTTTCGGTCCACGCGTGACGGACGACCTGGGCCTCAAGGGCTTCCTCCTTCCCATCTCGGATTTCTACAAGGTTCCCAAGGACGCGGCATTTTTCACATCGGACGCAAGCGGCGATCCAATCCACGCATGCCCGTACAAGGGTGGTCCCGGATCCAAACGCGACGTCCTGCACCACAAGTACGAAGACGAGGACGACCGCCGGCTCTACTCGGCATTCTATCCCGACTCGCAGGCGCAAGCTCCTTTCACCTGGACGCACGAAGCAGAAGGAGGCCCGGAAGGATTGCCCAAGCCACCGCGCAACTGGATCGCGCTCGTCCAGCGCGGAGGCGGGTGTGGGTTTGCCGACAAGGTGCGGGTGGCGCAGGAGCTCGGCGCGATCGCGGTGGTCGTTGGCGACGCTCCCAGCCCCAGCTGGCACGGCGGCCGCTCGGGCGATCCCAATGAGGAGGGCGATCCGGGCCTCAGCGGCAAGCGACTCATCACCATGTTTGCTCCGGGCGACACGAGCGACGTGCACATCCCGTCGACGTTTGTTACGCGACCCAGCTACCTTGATCTGGAACGGCTCATTCAGGAGACGGAGAAGGACCAAGACGACTGGCAGAGGCAGCATCCTTCGCAGCACGGCCCTAAAAGTGCTCCTGCCACGCGCGGTCTCGAGATCGTCATCAGCAAGGACGACCTGGTGTGGGAGTGGCCGCTGATCGATTTCGGCATTCTGTTACTGCTGCTGCCGAGCTTCATGACGGTGATCACCATCATTGTGCACCGCATCCGCATGGTGCGGCAGAGACGCAAGGAGCGTGCGCCCGAGCTGGTGGTGCTCGGTCTGCCCTGTCTCATCTGGAGGGGCAATGGACAGCCGTGGGAGAAGGTTGAAGGTGCCGATGTGGACCCTGGTCCGGGCAACGGTGGAAGCGACGATGCCGCGACCTCACGGCCGTTTGCTGCAGATGATCTCGAGTCTGGCCGGGCGGGAGAGACGATTCCGCTGCTGGCGGAGGACGAGAATGGTGCTGGGCCGTCGCAGCGCACGGCGGCGGTGGAGACGCGGCCGGTGAATCCGGCCTCGGTGCTGCCGCCGGGACGCACGTACTTTAGCACGGACGAGTGTGCGATTTGCCTGTGCGACTTTGTCGACGGCGACCGCGTGCGTGTGCTGCCCTGCGGACACATCTTCCACCGCCAGGAGGTGGACGACTGGCTGGTGCGCGTCAAGAAGCTCTGTCCCATTTGCAAGCGCGACATCACTGTGCCCATCCCACCTGCCCCTCCCGTGGGTGTAGCCACCGCTGTCAGCTCACCTGCTGCTGCTGATGAAGCGGTGGCGGAGGCAACCGAGGCCGCGGCGCCGGAGAATCCGGCGGATGAGAGCATCGATTTGAGCCAGCACCTCGCACAGGACCATGGCCACGACCAGCCCTCCAACGGACGCCAGGTCTAGCAGCCGGCGTTTTTGCAATGCATTTGTTCACCGCTCCTTTGAATCTTACGCCTGCGCTCAATGTTTGCGCGGGGAGTGGCTGAGAATGCGGTCGTTGAGATTACGTCAAGGAGATTTTTGGATCACGTCGAGGAGAGGTGGACGTGTGTGTGGATCTAGAGGAGGGCTTCGAGGGCGGCGATGACGGCGTCACCGACGTCCTTGGAGCCGTGCTTGCCGCCGAGGTCGGCGGTCCTGAGTTCGTGGCCGCCAATGTCCTTGGCGTCGAGCACCTTCCTGACGGCAGCTTCGACCTTGTCTGCGAGCTCGGGCTGGTGGAGCGAGTAGCGGAGCAGCATGGCGGCGGACAGGATCGTGCCGACGGGGTTGGCGATGCCGCGGCCGGCAATGTCGGGCGCCGAGCCGTGGATGGGCTCGTACAGACCGTTGCACCTGCTCTTGCCATCCGGCAGACCCGAGAGCGAAGCCGAAGGCAGCAGACCCAGCGCACCGGGGATGACGGACGACTCGTCGGACAGAATGTCGCCAAACATGTTTTCGGTGAGCACGATGCCGTTGAGCTTGCGAGGGTTCGAGACCATGACCATCGAGGCCGAGTCGACGAGCTGGTGGTCGACGGTGATGCCCTGCGAGGCAAACTGCGTGTCTACGGTATCCTGCACCACCTTGCGCCACAGGCGCGACGTAGCCAGCACGTTGGCCTTGTCGATCGAGTGCAGCGGCGCGGGTGGCGACGACTGGAGCGCGAGGTACGACGCGAGCTTGGTGATGCGCTCCACGTCGAACTTGTTGTACACCATGGTGTCGTACGCCGCACCGTCGGACGAAGGGTCGTCCAGGTTGGCCTCCTGGCGGTCGCCAAAGTAGAGACCCTTGACGAGCTCGCGCACCACGATGAACGACACACCCTTGGCCACCTCGGGCTTGAGCGGCGAGTGCGAGAGCAGCGACTCGGAGGGGAAGAGGCACGGACGGATGTTGGCGTACAGGTCGAGCTCCTTGCGCAGCGCCAGGAGACCCTGCTCAGGGCGCACCTTGCCGACGCCCCACTTGGGACCACCGACGGAGCCTGGTGTTGGCACAGAGAGGCGAAGAGGGAAACAGTCAGCATCGCGGTCGAAACGAACAGACACGCGGAAGATGGACACTTACCCATGAGGATGGCATCTGCGGTTTTGCACGCCTCGAGCGTGTCGTCCGGCAGCGGCTTGCCGGTCGAATCGATGGCGGCGCCACCAAAGTCGAAGGGCTTGAGGTTGATGGAGAAGGAGTCGCTCTTGGACGAGATGAGCTCGAGCACGCGCGTGGCCTGCTCGACGACCTCCGGGCCGATGCCGTCACCGGGGAGGACGACGACGTTGTAAGTCTGCTTGCTCATGTTGGCGTGTGTGATTCTGGTGTAAGGGGGAAAGTTAGCGGATGTAGATGGTGGTGGAAGGCTCAAGAGCTCGGCCACCGGTGGGGTGATCTCTCCTTTGCGCCTTGTGTGGAGCGGTGGGGCGGCCGTGACTCAGAGCGCTCTCTTCTCTGGTTGGCTGCCGCTTCGCGTGACTTGCCGGGATCTAATCACTGCCTTCGGTGCGGTGGCTGCAGTGGGCTTTATCGCAGCGGCGGCACTCCCGAGGGCAGTTCTTCCAACCATGCAGATCGGCGACTCGGAATCGGCGGAAAATCCAACCCGATGTAAGATCGATCGATTGACAAGTGGAGCAAAAGGGCTCACTCAAGAGGCCTTGGCCTCGCATTGAACTGCGCACCCGCATCCCGCATCTTGACCTCTCACCGCTTCCCACCCGCAAGTCTCGAGCGACACTCACCAGCATGTCGAGCTCGGCCAAGAAGGAGGCGATCCTCCGCGACTTTCGACAACTAACCAGAGCCACCCCGCAGGATGCACATCGCATCCTAAAGGCGCACGGCTACCGCCTCGAAGCCGCCACCAACGCCTTCTTCAGCGACGAGCAGGCGCAGCTCAACGCCCTTGCATCCTCGAGCACGCTCGACAAGAAGACGGAGCGCGAGGTCACCCAACGTCTCAACACGCTCTTTGACCGATTCCGCGCCGCTGCCGAGGAAGACGACGATGATGACGACGAAGATGCGGAAGCCAGCGCGGCCGCGGCGGCCGAGGATCCGGACGTGATGAGCATCGGTGGCGCGCTCAAGATGTGCGAAGCGCTCGAAGTGAGCCCGGAAGATGTGGTGTTCCTGCCGCTGTCCTTCTACCTGCGCTCTCCGTCGATCGGCACGTTTACGCGCACCGACTACGTGGCGGGCTGGAAGATGCTCGACCTGTCAGACACGCTCGAGAAGCAAAAGAAGACGATCGAAAAGCTGCGCCAGGAGCTGCTGGAGAACAAACCGCTGCGGCTCGAGCGCGTGGCACAGGAGAAGGCCGATCCTGCCACCGCCTCGTCGGCCAACAAGGGGCTGTACGAAAAGGTGTACGAGTACACGTATGCGTTTGCGCGGCGCGAGGGACAGAAGAGCCTGGCACTCGAGAATGCACTGGCGTTCTGGGACCTCATCCTGCCAGCGTCGCCGACGTTTAAGAAGGAGGGAAGCGACGGCATGTTTACACAGCACCAGCTGGAGCTGTGGAAGAAGTTCTTGTCCGAACACACCGGCGGCCGCGCCGTCAGCAAGGATACATGGACGCAATTCCTCGATTTCACCAGGGAGATCAACGCCGACTTTAGCAATCACGACTTTGACGGTAAGCAATGCTACTACCAGCGTCCGATCCAGTCACATTTGCTCATCCTCGTCCTCTTTTTGTGCTCGCGCGTTCGCAGCGGCTTGGCCATCGGTCATCGACGACTTTGTCATGTGGGCCAAGGACAACATGGCAGCCGACGGCATGGACACAAGCTGACGCCTCGCCAGCCACCTCAATCATCCCGCCATCTGTCTCTGACCGCGCACACTGCCCTGCGCGAAATCCAACAGCATCAATCGAGAAGCGTGCAAAGACAAGGATCACAATCGCACGCAAGTGAGAGGAGACGTTGAGAGAGAAAAAAAGTGATTGGATCCAGAGTGGAGAATTACATGTCACCTCTGCGAACGAAGGGGATGCCCATACCGGAGAGCAGAGCCCTTGCCTTTTCGGACGCCTTTCGGCCGCGCTGGTTTGTGATGCAGTCGATCTGGAAGCCCAGCGGGCGGTTGGGGTACTGGTCCAGGTTGATTTCGATCTGCGGGAACAGCGGGATGGCCTCGGGATGCATGCCCAGGCTCACCACGCCGCTCATAGCCGCCGGCGATGCAGGTGGCTGCGATGCAGGTGGCAGCGGGAAGCCCGCAAAGCTCCTCAGCCTCGGCAGCACGAACGTCGAGAGCACCTCGAGGAACTCGTGCGCCACGGGGCCGGGCAGGATCGCCTTGACACCCACGGGCATGCCCGGACGAAGCTTGAAGCTCGCCACGCCCGACTTGGCGCGGATGATCTCGATGCGACCTCGCGATGCGCCCGAGCCGGATGCTGGCGATGCTGCAGCGACGAGCGACGGATCGGACAGACTGCCCTCGACCGACAGTCCCGTGATGGCGCGCATCTGGGCGATGAGCGGCACCAGCGCGTGCTTGTTGGCAATCGCGTCCTTCGAGAAGCACGTCAGGATCACCTTTTCGAGCCGCGGGATCTGCGTCACAGTGTTGTGCACGGGGAGCGGCTTGGTGAGCGGTTGCAGGCGGCGGTTACCACGCGCCGGACGCTGGGGACGGTTGACCGAGTACGGGCTCTCGGCATCCCACGCGCGCTGGCGGTCCTGTGCATCGGCGGACGACGAAGCGTACGTCTCCGCATCGAGGTTGGCTGCAGCATCGTACGTCATGTACAGCAGGTCGGATGCGAGAGTGGTGCGGTAGTGTTCCTGGTATCGGTTGAGCTGCGTCGGTCCGATGACCACCGGGTGCGGGCGGAGCGATGTGCGTGCCGACTTGGCGGCCGTCGAGAGTGCGCGCGACGACGAAGAGGCGCGTGCGGAGCGCGAAGCAGCTCGCAGCATGTTGACCGTAGTCATCGTTGTAGACGTATTCATCGTGTGCCCGCCAGTGAGGATTGATGGTGAAGAAGGACGATGCCCTGGCGCCGGTGGGGAGCGAAGAGAAAAGTGGACTCGGCAGCGCTGTGGTGATCCGACTTTTTCTTGCGTCCCGATTCCAAGCCTTCCTGGACGATTTCTTCTCAAGTCGCTCTTGACTCGGACGAGAAGCTGCAACTCCACCCTGCTCGAGCCCGCTCCACCTGCACATCGCATCGCCAACACCATCTCTCGACGTCTCCTTTTCAACTCCACCATCGCTCCTTCCCGACAATCACGCACAATCCTGCACTACGTACGACGATCCCGAACGGGGAATCGCTAGGAACTTCGCACACTGGACTCATACGATGGCCGAAGTTTCGTCGACACCAGCGGCGCCCGCGCCCGTCGGATCCGTGACGGAGCCATTCGACCTCATCCGTCTCTCGATCTCGGAACGCGTGAACGTCAAGCTCCGAGGTGACCGTGAGCTGCGCGGCACCCTGCATGTAAGTTGACTGGGTCACCCTTCAATATGCAGCACGTGGTCCAAAGGATACTGATGTGACTTGCGTCTTGCGGGAACAGGCATACGATGGACACATGAACTTGATCTTGGGCGACGTCGAGGAGACCATCTACGTGGTCGATATCAACGACGAGAATGGACACGAGACAGTGCGCGTAAGTTTCAACACGAGACAAGGCCAAGCTCGGCGCAAAGTACAGTCACTGAACCTTGGTACTTTTCTTCTTCGCATCGCCATTTCGCAGGTGGTCAAGCGCCAAAGCGAGATGCTCTTCGTGCGTGGTGATAGCGTCATCCTCGTAAGTGCTCCGCATCTTCACTCCGACATCGTCTCGAAAACTGACGTCGTACTGACCCTCAATGTCATTGAACTATCGCGCCACTCAACCAGGTCTCGCCTCCGGCAAGCACTTGATCTTCCTCCTCCCCCTGCCGCCTCTTCGCTCTGCCCCTGTATTACTACTGCCATCCAATCCAGCCCTATCGCAAGCGCACCAACACACTCGCACATCCACACGGAGTAGGTTTTGGAACCGTAGATTTGACCGTCGAGATCAAGCTAATGCCTAAGAGTACAAAGTGAGAGAGATGCGGGGAGTGTTAATTGCGCCCCGCCGCGCACATCAAATCCAGGTATATGTGGTGACTAGAACGGAACCGAGCGGAAAGTGTCAGGGCTGTGTTAAGTGCGGCCCTGCGCGCTAATACAAGTCGAACGGCCAAGGCCGTCGACGGCGGATATACAGAGAGAAGTGAGGGTGCGGGCAGTGTTAAGTGCGGCCCGACGCGCAGGTATGCTGAGAGGGGAAAAAAGAGAGTACAGAGACCGTGAAAAGCGAGAATGCGATGGAGATGCAGATGCAAAGAAAGAGACGGAGAGCGAGACATAGATGCCGGTCGAGGCCAGAGCCAAGAACAGCGGGACAGGTTGGTGACGCGCGGAACCGTGTTAGGATCCGCTCGCGGGTATAATGGTTCCATGCACGGAGCAGGAACAGCGAGACCACCCTAGCCGCTGCACAGCCTGGCACGCGACGCAGCGCAGCTACGTGCGTGTGCAGGCCGAGCGCACATTTACTCGAGGTTGCTGGGGTAGATGTGGGTGGTGGGGTCGATGGTGGTCTCCTTGATGGTGCGCGCCGAGACAAAGCGGTAGAAGATGGAGATGGAGCCGGCCTTGTCGTTGGTGCCCGAGGCGCGGGCGCCGCCGAAGGGCTGCTGGCCGACGACGGCGCCGGTGCACTTGTCGTTGTAGTACATCATGCCCGAGGCGTTGCGCAGCAGGTTGCTCGCGCGGATGAGCGCGTAGCGGTCGGCCGAGAAGATGGAGCCGGTGAGGGCGTACTCGGTGGTGGAGTCGATGAGCTCGCACGTCTGCTCAAACTCCTCGTCGGGGTAGGCGTAGACGGTGATCACGGGGCCGAAGATCTCGTTGACCATGGTGACCGACTTGGGGTCCTTGGTCTCGATCACGGTGGGCTGGACGTACCATCCCTTGGAGTCGTCGCCCTGGCCACCGCAGAGCACCTGGCCGCCCTCCTTCTTGGCGGCCTCGATGAGGCCCATGATCTTCTCAAACGAGTGCTTGGCGATGACGGGGCCCATGAAGTGCTTGAACTCGTGCACGGGGCCGACCGAGATCTGGGCGATCTGGTCGAGCAGCTTCTGCTTGAACTCGCCCTCCCACATGGACTTGGGCACGTACAGGCGCGAGAGCGCCGAGCACTTCTGGCCCTGGTACTCGAAGGCGGCGCGGATGGACTGGGTGACGGCGGCGTCGACGTTGGCTGACTTGTGGACCATGTGGAAGTTCTTGCCGCCGGTCTCGCCGACGATGCGCGGGTAGCCGCGGTACTTGTCGAGGTTGTTGCCGATCTGCTTCCAGAGCTGGCGGAAGACGTGGGTGGAGCCGGTGAAGTGGAGGCCGGCGAACTCGCGGTGGTTGATGGCGGCGCCGACGATCTCCTCGGCGGGGCCGGGGACGAACTGGATGACGCCGTCAGGAAGACCGGCCTCGCGGAGGATCTCGTAGGCGACGTAGTTCGAGTAGATCGACATGGGCGAGGGCTTCCAGACGACGACGTTGCCGACCATGGCGGGCGCGCAGATGAGGTTACCGGCGGCGATGGCGAGGAAGTTGAAGGGCGAGACGGCGAGCACAAAGCCCTCGAGCGGGCGGTACTCGGTGCGGTTCCAGGTGTTGGCCGAGCACTCGGGCGGCTGGGTCGAGTAGAGCTCCTGGATGTACTTTGCGCTGAAGCGGAAGAAGTCGCAGATCTCTGCGGCGGCGTCGATCTCGGCCTGCCACACGTTCTTGCCCTGGCCGAGCATGGTAGCGGCGAGCACCTTGTATCGGTACTTGGACGCGATGAGGTCGGCTGCCTTAAGGAAGATGGCGGCGCGGTCGTTCCAGGGCATGTTCTCCCACGCGGTCTTGGCCTTGAGGGAGCCCTCGATGGCCTTTTGGACGAGCGCCTCGTCGGCCTCGTGGTAGTTGCAGAGGATCTGCAAGTGGTTGGACGGGTTGGGCTGCTTGCTGACCTTGCCAGTCTTGATCTTCTCGCCGTTGATCACGACGGGGACCTCGAAGGGACCGGCGGCGATCATTTCGTCGACGGCCTGCTGGAGCTTGATGCGGTCTTCGCTCTTGGGCTCATAGTTGCGCATGGGCTCGTTCTTGATGGGCGGCAACGAGAAGAGGCCCATCTGGGGCGCCTGAGGAACGGAAGCCATTTTTGGAGTATGTGTATGTGTGGGTGTGACGAAAGGGGGACGACGGACGAAAGGGAGCCGGGACAGGGAACGGGAAAGCGCAGGGGATGATGGTTGGGGGGGAGAGATGCAGATCTGGGGATCTACTCGCAATTTATGGAGACTGGCGAAAGGGGGAGGGGCAAACGGGTGGGCTTCGATTGAGGAGCAGGGGAGGTGCCGTGCTCGAGATACGAAGCTGGCGCGCAGGGTCATCCGACCAACGAGGCCGCAGCGGACGAGCGCACGGCACATGCACGGCTCAACTCTTTCCTTCCCGCCGCCAAAGTGCAAATTTCCTCCGCGCTTGGGGCTCGGTGGGAAATTCTTCGGACGTGAGTCAGAGGCCAGGAAGAGAAGCAGCGCTCCCCTCTGCGCAAAGTGACTGAAGCAGCTTTATCGCCCCAGTTTCCTGTCTTCGCGTCACAATGGCGGAGGGAAGCAGCTCGATTCTCGGGTTTTGACCGAGAATGCCCCGTGGCTCCCTCCCTCACTGCACACTCAAAGACCCGTTCGCCCTTATCGAAGCTCGGCGGGATGTTCGGCCATTCCGTCGCATTGCACTTTCAGCCGAGTGGGTGTTGAACAGGTTCTCATCACGGGCGGGTCAGGTATCGAGAAAAAGCGGGTTGGTTCCGGACTCATCCGTGGGGCTCTTTGCGAGAGCTAAGTACCCGGTCAAGTTGCCATTCCCCAGGCCTTGGCGTCGCTTGAGAGGGACGCTCCCCCGACTGCATAGCCTGTTGGCCGCCCTTTTTGACAGACGCTTGGATTCCGCATGATGGGCCTTGTGTCCGGCTCACGGCACACGCGATCATGTCTTCACACCGTCTTCACAAATGCCCGAATGCTGGGCTACGAGTTGAGAGAGAAAAAAGTGTCCATTCAACGCCCACCAAAGAAGCTGCGTGTGCGGTACTGGCGTGCGATGCGTTGCGACTCGGTCATGGCTGCTTTCTCCTTGGCTTTGCGATCCGCAGTGGTTGCTGCGCCGTCTTCGCTCTGGCGCCCAGCTGTGCCGTTGCCGAGGCCAAAGAGCTTCGAGAGGCGCTTGGCGCCCTTGCTCTGCGTGCGGGGCTCCGGGCCGCTGGCTCTTCTGTCGTCATAGACCACGTCCCTTGACGCTGGTGTAGGCCGCACCGCAGCTCGTCGTCCAGGCAGCGTGTCGCTGGTGACCGAATCGGCGTCCTCGTCCGTGGTGTCGGACAGCAACGACTCGGCATCTCGAGCAAAGCCAGGCAGCGGCATGGCGAGCATCTCCTCTTCGCGGTCCGGGCGTGCTTGGCGCTTCTGTTCGAGCCAATCGCGCATGGGATCCGACGACGCCTCGAACGCCGCTGATACGTGCGTATGCCCTCCACGCGCCGCAAATACCGCCACCAAACTAGCCAACGCCAAATCCGCGTCAAACATGTCCCCCTCGTCTGAGCTGTCGTATGCAAACGATCCAATCCGTCTCGTCGGATCCACCTCGGTGCTGACGCCGTAAGCGCTGGTGTTTGTTGGAACCGCCTTTCTGAACTCGCCCACCTGCACTTCGCTCTCGCCCACACACCGCAAGAGCGCCAACGCATGCTTGTCCATCTTCCACACGAAGCGCGAGCCGTCCTTGAGAATGAGGTGCCAGTCGTGCTTGAACAGCCGATGCCCCGCGTGCATCGTGGCTAGGATGCCCGAGCCGCGCCTGAAATCGTAGCTGTTCTTCATGGCTTCTTGACGCACCTCCCAGCCCTGTCGGCCCGGCTTGCTCTCCCGTCGTCCTTTCTTGGTCACGTCGTGGCTGCTGGGCGCGAGATCGGTCAACACCGCTTTCCACCCGGCCATTTTGCGCGGGACGCGCACACCGTAGCGTGCGGATCCGCGTTCCGACACGTGGAAGCCTGGCAGCTTGTCGTCCTCAAACAAGTCGTATGTGGTGAATGTGGAAAGTTGTTGCTGCTCTACGGTGGCCTCTGGTGTGTGCACTGCAATGCTCGGTTCGGGCTGAGAGCTGCTGGCCGAGGATCGACGGGCATGGTCATCGCGCGACAGTGATGGGCCAAGGTCACCCTGCTGGGCGAAGTTGTGTGAGTGCCGACTTTGTCCCATGGAAGGCCTCGTTCGTTCCGCCAGGTAGCTTGGGTGCTGATCGCTCGTGGCGAGGGCAGCTGCATGGCCGCTAGCTGGGCTCGGTGCCACTTTCGTATACGCCATGGCGGAGCTCACGACGTGCAGGTCTTGCTCGACCGAACCAGCAGGTGGGCCAACAGACGGGATCGACTCTGCACCGTCCTCCTTCGGTAGCGAGAGGATATGTCCGAGGCCCTGAGGTGAAGTTGTGTCGTTGTGTGGCATTATAGATGCCGGCACACGTTCGTCGAGTGCTAGCGTCTGCAACTGCGCGCCAGTGAGTTGCGCCGATGTCCTGCGATTGAACGCCGCCAAGCCGTCATGCTCGTGGCCAGCTGTGTCGGACTCGATCGTCTGTGGGTGCTCTGATGCGGTCGGCTGCTGAACCCACGGAAAGAGGCCGCTAAAGCTCTTTGTAAGCGATGGGTCGAAGCCCAGATCGATTTGCGGAGGTGTCTCGGGCGACATTGCTCGACTGCCTGCCGAACTGGATGCTCTCGACTCCATAGGCGTCGTTTCCTGCAGCACCGACATTCTTGTATCCTCCATCAAGCCAGGGTCGTCGTGGTCGTGGTTTCAAAGAACGTTTGCGTCTGGAGGGCAAGCTCGTGTGGGGATGCAAAGGGGTGGGGGCCTGAGCTTCATCTGCACCTGCGGCAGCTGCGGGACATGCGGCAACTTTGCGCAGCCACGCAGCCACGCAGCCACACTGCTGGGGTCACACGCACTCCACTGCCAGCCCTCATGTGCAAATGTGGCACCGTAAAACCCTTGACTGCGTCTCTATACCCACCTGCGTTGCTCTTGGAAGGCCGGTGCGGCGTTCGGCGTATTTTTTACGGGTGGCAGTCGGAGCGAGGGCGCCATATTGGCGAAGGGTGTGCGCTGGTCGAGCAGTGAGGCTGTGCCAAGAGGGTGGAAGATGCGCCGCACGGAACTTGACATCACATCCGAAAACTCGCGTGGTGCGTGGTTATTTATAATAAAGTTATGAGACTCGGTCTATTAAACAACGAGAATCATGCACGCATGTACCCCAGCAGACAACATTGAACACCGTCCTCGGCATCGTCGCACGATGTCTGTGAGGGTGTGAGGGAGCGTGCTTCACGACCCACCAACGAAGCTTTCTCGGACATCCATCGTTAGCGTCAGAGGTCTGCAGAACCGACCCTCACAACGGATAGATGGCGGTGTTTCGCAACGCCATTAGGGCCTGACCGAACCATTTTGCCAGATTTTCGGAACTCGGAGTATTCTCGTGGCACGTTGGCCCGGAATGAGAGAGCCAACTCAGCCACCCTTTCTGCGTTCTTTGCCGTTTCGCCACCATCGCGTTCGCCACAGCGGTCCGGTCGCCAAACACAATGTCATATCAAGCCGATATGGACGATGCGAACCCATGGGCAGCATCAATCCCTCGCGCCACACCGCCACCCCTGCCCGGGTCGTCGCTAGACCAAGCTATCGATGTCGACGACCCGCCAGAGACCGCGCCGCCTCCCTACTCGGATCCCCAGCACGGCTTCACCTCGTCATCCCGCCCCGATGCCCGACACGTCCATCACACGGGCATGGAAAACACCGACCAGGTGCTGCTGCTCGTCTTCATCCACGGCTTCAAGGGCTCGTCCGAAACCACGTTTGAAGACTTTCCCTCACGCCTCACCCACAACCTCCAGGAAACCTATCCGGGCCTGCACGTCAAGTCGCTCGTCTATCCGACGTACGACACGCGCGGTAGCCTCGCTGCTGCCGTCGGCGCGTTTGTCGAGTGGCTCACCATGCAGACCGTCATGCTCGAAGACAGGCTCAAGCTCGACCCGGACACGGGCGCCATTCGGCCCGACCCAACCGCCACCATCGGCGGCGGCGGCGCAGGCAGCGTCAAGATCGTCCTCGCAGGCCATTCGATGGGCGGACTCATCGCCGTGGACGCCGCGCTCAGCGTCTCACGCAAGACGTCCGAGCAGCAGCAGCCCACGCATGGCAAGCGCAAGCTCTGGCCCGCCGTCGTCGGAGTGCTTGCCTACGACACGCCCTACTACGGCGTTCATCCGGGCGTGTTCAAGCACGGCATCAACAAGTACGCCGGCTACATCCAGACCGCACAGAACATCGGCACGTTTCTGGCGCCCATGGGTGTAGGCCTGGCTGCACGCTGGAACTCGGAGCGCCAGTCGCAGCCGTCTTCGGCCACGCCACCTTCCAACACCACCACCGCCGCCAATGGACGGTCTCCGCGCCCGACGGAGGGGCATGGGAACGATGCTGCCGCATCGGCACGCGCGAGCAGCAACTGGCGCACCGCACTCATGGCGACGGGCGCCGTGGCGCTCGCTTCGGGCGCAGCCGCTTCCGCAGCGTACTTTAACAAGGACAAGATCAACGGCGCATACGGCTGGGTGTCGG